ATTTTCTGTGTTGCTTTTTTTTTTTTTTTTTTCCTTCCCTCTTCCCTCCCCCCCCCCCCCCCCCCCCCCCCCCCCTTCTATACACAGATACACCAACATCCAATCAACACAACACCAAACAACTGACACCACCTTGTTATCTTCTCTGACTAAGCTTCCCTCGTGTTGTTTCTGACTTTTGTCTTGTAATAAAATTACTGTAAACACTTGGGAAATGTTGTTATTAATCGCATACTGTAAGATACTGAAAACAGGTCATGACGTCAGTGTCCTCAGTAGGAGCTACGGCCCTGCAGTCTGGGTAAAACCCAAACTATCTGCGTCATCATATACCACTAAAGTTAAGTAAGAAAATGTTGTTGTTTTTTATAAGAAGTAAAAGTGTGGCGTTTTTGGACACATTGTGGATAAACACAACAGTCCCGACCACTCCTGTAGAACATTCTCACCTTTGACAGTCTCTGTCTGCAGTCTTCACACAAACAGGTATGATGACTAAAGGTGTGCGGTGGTTTCTTACCTTGATCTGAGCCAGCTCACTGGTAGAAGAGGACCTTCCCAGTATGTGGCTGCTAACCAGTGTGTGCTGACACAGCAGGGCCAGAAGGCCCCACAGGACCGCAGTCCTCATGTTATCCTTCTGCTGCTACTACTGCTACTACAGTTTGCACTGCACGATTTTATATACATGCCAATACACTCACCACGCAACAGATCGTCAGTGTCAGTGGCTCATCGTTTTGTAGATCGCCTCAAGTGCATTCTGACACCTCAGCATGATAAGGCAGCTGGTCAGATGTCCCTTTAAGTGGTGCTTGGTGGTAGGTGTTGTGTGTGTGTGTGTGTGTGTGTGCGTGTGTGTGTGTGTGTACAGTATATGTGTCTGTGTATCATCACGCTTACCAGCCAGCAGTGGCATGACCTCAGGAGCAATCTTGGAGCTCTGAGCTCAGACGTGGTGTGTATTGACAGGAATGCAGCATTCACCATGCAAATACTTAACACTGTCTACACTCCTCAGTCTGAAAAATACCATAGTAGGTTAAAACTGCTGCTCCTGCTAGGCTACGTGGAGGCAACATGGTTTAGATTAGGAGAGGAAGGAACCAATGTCATCAATTTAAGACATTTACGGTACATAATATTGTTGATCTTCTAGCTAATGAAATGTCTGTTTGGTTTGGAGTTATGGTTCAGTCTGTAAGGAAGGATAAGAAGGTTTAGCTGAATGTAAAATTGCATATCAGTTATTCTTAATTGAATGCTGGCAGTACATCAGAACATTACTGTGCTGTTTCCACACAACCCAGTAAAGAAGAATTAGGAGTAGACAATGTCAAATATTGAAACAATTCTTTGACATTTCGTAAAATAAGCTACTTCTCTTTCTTAATAAGACTGAGATGAAAAGGTGAATACAGGGTCACCATATGTTCCCAAGGTCCTCTTTATAAGAGATTGGTGAATGCCATCATAGCTGTACAAATTGAGAAAAGAATTGAGGAAGACAGAGTTGATTGATGATTTTTTTATTTTTATCCATTTAGCCACTGCTCAGACATCGATGTCTAAAGTCAAGAAAACTGTCTTGCCTGCAGATTTGAGGGTGTACATTAGATTCCAAGGAGTAGAACATCAATAGGCAATAAGCTGTGGGTGGGTGATTTCAACGTAACTGCCCCTGAGAAACATACACGGTAGGGCTGTAACAATACACGTATTCGTATTGAACCGTTTGGTATGAGGCTTACGGTTCAGTAAGCATTAAGAACCGAACAATACGTTTGAATAATACCATTGCGTTTGGAAAATGCAGAAGCATAAATTATGCGCTCAACATGGCAAACCACTCGACGTAACAGACAACGTGCTGTCTGACACTCTAACACGTAACAGACAACATACTGTCTGACACTCCCACCACGTAACAGACAACATACTGTCTGACACTCTACCACGTAACAAACAACATACTGTCTGACACTCTACCACGTAACAAACAACATACTGTCTGACACTCTACCACGTAACAGACAACATACTGTCTGACACTCTACCACGTAACAGACAACATACTGTCTGACACTCTACCACG